CCGGGGACAGGAATGGGTGAACATCCCCCATAGCATTGAAACACATACAAGAGCTGTGGCTGTTTAGCTAAAACCCAGGAGACTCCTCACCAATATGACCAAATAAACGTCAGACGGGAAACTTGCAGTGTCCACCTAGGGAAGGGGCCTTCATGTCCACTTTCCCGAACTATGAAGAGGGATGTGGGCTCAAGACAGACAACAGGCTCAGTCACAGAAATGCGAAGAAAGTGGCATTTCTTGCACACCTTAGTTTTTTGTTTTGTCTTGTTTTGCGTGAGATTGGGCTCCCTTCATTTATTTTTCCAGAACGGGTTAAGTGAGGAAGCGAGGGCTGGTGATGCTCTTGCCTCTGACTCTCCCTCAGGCTCCAGGTAACCAGCTCCGGGCTTCCAGCTTTGTCCTTCCCTCCGTCCCCTGCAAGCACCACCCCTCCACCTCCATGCTCTTTCCCAGCAAACCATCCACACCGTCCTGTCACTTTTCCCCCCTTCTCCTCCAGAGGAGAAAGGACGGAAGCCCGGAAATGAAGATGGGAGCAAACCAGGATCTTCATGGTCTCACTCGACCCCTGTCCTAGGGCCTTCGTTCTATGATTGAGATGAGACAGCTCCCTTCTGCGGGCGTGGGGGAGAGATGAGGTGATGGAAAGAAGGTACTGAGGAGCCACAGGCTCTGCCTGGCAGAGACGGGGACGCCGTGTCCGATGGGGACACCGTGTCTGGTGAGGACCAGGACTTTCAGAAAGCAAAGGGCAGGTGGACAAGCCCCTCCCTGATTCCGGGGTTCCTTCCTCCGGAAAACTGCTGCTCTCTGGAGCCAAGAGGGAGAGAAACAAACACACAGATAAATTAAAAACCAGAAACAGGGTGGGGGATCACACACACACAGAGCTTTTGTTCATCCCACAAATACTGACTGAGTTCCAGGCACTGTTTTAGGCTCTCTGGCAGGGTTTCTCAGGCTCGGTGCCACCGACCTGTGGGGCTGGATCATTCTTTGCCGTGGGCCGTCCTGTGCGCTGCAGGATGTGGAGCAGCATCCCTGGCCTCCTCCCCCTGGAGACCAAACGCACCCCCAAGTCATGACGCGCAAAAATGCCTCCTGGCATGGCCAAATGTTCTCTGAGGAATAAAACCACCCTGGTGGAGCGTCTCTGGGCTCCAGGCACCATGAGGAGCAAGATGCTTTGCCGCCCCTCACGAGCCTGTTTCCCTGGGAGGGAGAGATGCTCAACAAACAAGGAAGGACCCAACAGGTGCATCATGCAGGACAGAAGCAAGGGACGCAGCAAGAGAGCCCCGAAGGTGAGCAGAGACTAAAGAGAACCCAGCGCCGCCACAGGGACAGAAAGGGGGCGTGGGTAGAAATGGGGTTCGCGGGCCCAGACACACGCAGACCCAGCCTGGGGGTATACTTGAATAAACACGGGGCCTGAGACACGAGTCACAAAGAAGAGGCGCAGAAAGAGGGGAGGAAGGGCAGCCTATACATCTCAGAGCAGAGCACCTGCAGGGGGAAACTGAGGTGAAGCAAAGAAACATTTCCCTGTGGGGAGCGTCCTTGCTCTGACCTCACAGGCCAGCTCATGAAAGCCCTTCCGCACGCAAAGCCTCACTCCCACCTCCATTCTTGGCACTGTCTCCTGTCTTCCCCCTAATTGCGGACCCCCTCTCTCTCCCCTGCTCTTCCCTCCTCCCTGCTCCTCGGGAGGCATAAAAGCTGCGGTCGAGGAGCTGGGCCCCCAGAGAGCTGGGGAGAGCTGCCGACTCCAGTGAGGTGAGGCGGGGAGGGCATGCAAGGGTGTGGAGGGGGGCGCCCGGAGAAACGGGACATGCTGATGGGGAAGGCAGGGGCAGGCACGGGCCGAAGGGTCGCCAGGGGTGAACACCTCTGTGATTCTTGAGCCTTGGTCACTCGTGCGCCTGGGGTTCTGGGGGGCCATGTTTTACCTGTCTGGTATCCTATCGCTTACCTTCGGGGCTGTCCCTCAAGCAACGCTCTCGCTTTACTTAAATAAACGTGCTCCAGAGTGGAATGCCACAAAATCGGCCATAAACTCAGAAGTGTCCATTTTATTTTTCTGTCACGTATTTAAGGCAGGAAGACACAGAAGTTCATCTCTATTCCGCGGTACGGTATTGTGCATTTACATTTTGGTAGAAGTCGGACGGAGGAAGACGAACACCGCATGATCTCACTTCTGGGTCGAATCTGGAAACGACCACTCGGGGAACGAGATCAGAAGGGGGGTTAGGCAGAGGCGGGGTTGGCCCGAGAGCTCAGGTGTAAGGTGCAGACGTGCTGGGGACCCAGAGGGACGGCACGGTCCCCATAGTTGACACCGCCGTGTGGTATCTTTGCAAGCTGCCCAGAGAGAGTAGATCCCAAAAGTCCTCAACGCAAAGAGAAAACAATTTTTGTCGTAACTAGACGATGTGACAGATGTTAACTAAACTTACTGAAGGGACCCTTTTTCCAATGAACGCGTTAAGTCGTCATGCTGCGTGCCTCGAACTTACATGGTGTCGGATGCCCATTACAGCTCAAGAAAACATATGTCAGGAGGACAGAGCCCATGGTAACAAAACAAACAAAAACCTAAATCAAACAAGCAAAAAATCGCAAGGTAATGTTTGACGGTGATGGATATGCCTACCACCCTGATGATGGTGGTGGAATAGGGTGTATGCATGTGTCCGGATTCATCCAGAGGTGTATGTTCAGTGCATGCCATTTTTTTGTATAGCAATTATACCTTAATGACACTAAAAATATATAAATACACTCATCACCCTCTCTTGACAGCGTCCCGTAGCTCTAAGCGCCCACCCCTCTGGCCCTCAGATGGCTCCCTCTGTCCGTCTGGTCCTGCTTCTTACCGTCTTGCTCAGCCTGGGGGAGACTCCTGCCTCTGTACCTGTCCACCAGGTGAGACCTCCCTCCCCACCTGCAGCCTCCCCAGCCACTGCCCTCCTAGAAGAGCTTTCTGATTCTCCTGGCTGAGCCAGGAGCCACGGGCTGTGGGGTGCCTTGGCCCCGGATGGGGGTGCGGGATGGCGTGGGTTAAGACACCTGACCCAGGGGTCAGGAAGCAAAAATGTCCTAAGGATTAGCATTGCCCAGAAGTACAAAAAGATGCCTTCAGTGAGCTCCCAGTCATTCTAAGTTGTTCGGTCACCAAGGACTGGGCCCTGCCCCTAGGGTTTCTGCCAACCCCTGGATGATGCTACTGGCCTCAGGGCCACATTTGGGGAGTCCCTGATTGGGCGCATGGGCTGTGGAGACCCGGGTGAATTTGGAATACTGGTGCTGTCACTTTTTAGCTGCGTGATTCCTGGCAAGTTGCCTAATTAACCTCTCTGTCCCTCCAAGTTCTTCGTAAAATCACAGCACCATGAGGGTTACCTGAGTTCCTCCGTGCCAGGTGCATTACCCGATCCAGAGGACCCAGGCTTGGCACTCCGCCACCCTGGGTTTGGGTCCAGCTGCCTGTCTTGCTGCCAGGGTCCTCTGCAGGCTGTTTAAGTCTCTTGGAGCTTGCCGGGACCGGAGCCAGAGCTGGGCTGTCCCCCAGGGCCGGGACTGGAGCCGGAGCCAGGCTGTGGGTAGGTAGCCTGCACTGACCCCCAGGGTTGCACGCCCAGAAGGCACCCACATGGGTTTCGTGGTCTTCTTTTGCTGTCTCGACACCTTTCATTGTGTTTGAGCAAGGGGCCCCCTATTTTCATTTTGCTCTGCGCCCCTTAAATTATGTCGCCAGTCCTTAGAACAGACACTGGCACTTAGAAAACCCACAGTGAATATTAGCCACTGTAATTGTCAAAGGAACACAGCAGCTTGCCTAAAGCCATCCGGTGATGTCGCCTGGGTTTGAACGTGTGTGTGTGTGTGTGTGTGTGTGTGTGTGTGTGTGTGTGTGTGTGTGAGAGAGAGAGAGAGAGAGAGAGAGAGAGAGAGATTTGTGATGATATGCAGAGGCTTGTAGACGTGGTTTCTAAAGCTCTGTATTCATTCCCCGCTGCTACGTTTTAGGAAGCCTTCACTTCCCTCACTGGTGAAATGTGGACTAAGTGAACCCACCTGCCAGGCTCCTGGGAAGGTGGCAGCTGGCCCCCGTGGTCCCAGGCCTGGGGGACGGACGCCTCCCGGCCTTTCTGCCTGTCTGAGTCTAGATCTCTTGGTCTCTGTCCAGGGGCGAGGAGGCCGGACCCTCAACAGCGTGGGCTACCTCCTGGGTCCCGGTGAGTAAGCCCGCTCTGAGCGCCGTCCCTGACCAGTGCCTACCGGCGGTGGGTGGAGAGCCTGTAAAGACCCTCGGCTCACATTCCCTGAAGTCCACGGGTTTTCTTTCCAGACCCGTGTTGACAGTTAGTCTAGCCAAGCGACGGGCGCATGGGTCCTGGAACCACAGTGCTGAGTTCAAATCCCAGCTCTGCCGCTTGCTTGGTGTGCGCGCCTTAGTTCCCTCAAACATGACGATGCATACAGTGAGGCCCCCTGCTGCACACGGGGGGTTAGAACAACTCCTGGTGTGTAGGGGTGCCAGGGGACACTCGGCGGTTACTCTCCCCCCTTTCATGCCCCTCCATCCCGGGGTCCCTGTTTCCCTGAGTGCGTCTTCACTGTGCACTCGTTGCGTATGTGGTGACGTGGAGGAACAATTAAGGCCATACGTCCCTGTGACGCTCAAAGGAAGGACCACTCAGTGGTCCAAGAAAACCCAGGCTCCCGGGACCGTGGGGCGGAGCAGCAAAGACTTGAGGTCTGGGTCCAGATGTAGGTGGGTTCGGCTCCCAGTGCTGCCACTTAGCCGTGGGGTAACGTTGGGCGACTGACTTGACTCTTCAGAGCCACAGCCTCCTCACTTGGCTGTGTGGATGCTCAAAAGACTTGCTGTCCCATGGATTTAGTGGTGGTGCTCTGTGCAGGGAACAGTGTTACAGGATTGCTGGATTCCCTGTGTGACTGTTGCCATGTCACAGACCACGGGCCCTGTTCTTCCCCAGTGCTCCACCTTCCCCAGAGCACGGACCACGGAGGGAAGGAGAAGACTGCCCTGGAGGTCCTACACCTGTGGAAGGCCGTTGGTGAGTGACTGTGGGGTTCATCTCCGTCACCCTCCTCCGCCTGCCCACTGCTGGCCTTGGAAACTGGCCGACGTGGGCTCCATCCCTTGCTCCCCCACTTGCTGGTCGGCGAAGCTTGGGGAAGGACAGTTCCCGGCCACGTAACACGTCTGAGATTCCCCCCTCCTTGCCATCCACATCTCAAGGGAAAGAATCACGGGGTGTGCGGGGGTTCAGACACCGACACCGGGGTAGGCACGCCGTGAATGCAGCCTGTGACCTGGACCGAATCTCCCCATTGTTGTCACCTACCAGGCAATCGCGCATATCTGGGGCCAGTTTCTCACCCCGGGCAGTGGTGCCCATGACTCTGCTGTGGGCCATCCAACGTGCAGGATGTTTAGCGGCATCCCTGGCCTCCACCCACCAGGTGGCCATAACACCTCCGAGTTGTGACAAGGACAGATGTCCCCACACATTACCAGATATCTCTGGGGAGGGGGAGGGAAGGGCAAAATGACCCAGGATGAGAACCACTAAGTGCCACAAATGCCAAGGAAATAAGGGAGCTATGGCCATGTTGCATGGTACAAAGCACCGAACCGAATGGCGCGGAGGTGGAATGACTTTTGGCTTTGTTCCCAGATGGGCTCCCCTATCCCCGCCCTCAGCGGGCCTCCAAAAGGAGCCTAAGGGAGACCTTTGCTCAAGCAGAGACTGCTGGTAAGCGCAGGGAACATGGAGGAAACAGGAGCTGGGCACAGGAGCGTTGAGAGCCAACTCTCAATGCCCACGCTGAGCGGGATGGCTCATTTCTGTTCTACCCCTTCACCTCACACCCCGCTTCCGGGCCCAACGCCCATTTTCCAGCCAATCCCAGATATTTCCCAACCTGGCACTGCAGTGATGACCCCACTCCCAAATCTTGATCTCCCTACTATCAGCCCCCCAGGCTTTAGCTACAACACTGACCGCAAACCCTCACTGCCAAGTCTGACCTCTCTCTTTATTCCAGCCTTTAAACTCACTCTGAACCTTGTACTCATCTCTACTCACGCTCAGGCGAGTTCTTCTACTGCCGTTCTGAATTCTGGTTTTCTTAGAACACTGGGTCCCTTTTACTCAAGGATCTTTGCACCAGCTGATGCCTCGGTCTAGAATGTTCTGTTTCTGGAGCTTTGCGTGGTGAGAACCTTCCGTCATCCAGGAATCATTTTAGCCACCTCTTCCACCTTAGAGTTTCCCACCGACCATTTATCTGACATGAACCTACTTTTTCTCTATTCTTGTCACCCCGTCTAATTTCCGTAGTGATGTTTGTCAGCATGTGCATCTTCTCTGTATCCTGTACTTATCTGCTTGTTTTCTGTCTTCTACCTCCATGTGTGTAGGGACCTCCCATGACTTGCTCACTCCCTATGCGCAGTGGTGCCTGGAAAATATGTGTTATTTTTTTAAAAGATTTTATTTATTTATTTGAGAGAGAGAATGAGATAGAGAGAGCCCCCATGAGAGGGGGGGAGGGTCAGAGGGAGAAGCAGACTCCCCGCCGAGCAGGGAGCCCGATGCGGGACTCGATCCCGGGACTCCAGGATCATGACCTGAGCCAAAGGCAGTCGCCCAACCGAGCCACCCAGGCGCCCGGAAAATATGTGTTAAAGGCATGAATTAAACTATCCGAGTGAAGGCTTCCCACCCAACTGTGACCTAAGTAAGTCAGCTTCGCCTGCCTCCAGCTGGATCTTTACCCCCAATTCCATCTCCTTCAACCCTAACCCTGTTTTTGGAAACGAACACCATGCTTTCATTCTAGCTCTACTAACCCATCTGGAAAGCGCCGAGTGGACATCCACCGGTGTTGGAGGTGACACACCTCCTGAGTTTATCAAGCCCCACACCAACCTTGGCTACCCTCTGGCTCTTGGAAACGCCCACCCCCACCACGTGCCATCTTACATGGGGTGGAAGAGGGAAACGTGTGGGTAGATGCAAAGAAAGGAAGGTAGAGCCAGAAGGAAAGAGGGAAAGAGGAGAGGGAAGGCAACTGGACATGGGATGAACCAAAGCCATCTTCCTCCCTGGTCTCGTTCCCAGCCTGGACTGGGTTGCGTGGCGGCGGTAAGCTTAACCGTTCAAAAGTCACCTCTTTCTCTCCCGCAGATCTGGGCAAGCTCAGCGATAAAGCCCCCAAGGAGGGAGATGCCCGCGGTCTTAGATGTCTCCAGACCTCTGCTCTGCATCCATCTCCCCAGCTCCTCCTGAACCCCTGTCTAGCTCCCCCCACTGAGACTGAGAGATCCTGAAGTCAAGTCTCTAAATGTCATGCAGAAAACTTAGAGCGTTGGGAGAATTTTCTTAAAAGTCCCCAGGCTGTCTCAGGTTTCAGTGATTTATCCTTGGAGTAAGTATAAAGCGTTGTTAACAAGCCCAAGAATTAATTCTGGAGCCGTTTAGGAGATTCGGGGTGATGAGGGAGTATCTCTGCAGTCCGTGTGAAGCAACTGTGTTCTTTTGGAATCAACCCAGTCCTAACAGGAGCTACTGACTGATACGATATGAATATCCCATTTGCCTCCGAGAGTCTATGATGTCTTGACTCGAGAAGACTCTGCCAAGTAGCAGGCATGCCTTCCCTCTTTCCCCCACCCCAGCCCAGCGTTCTCCAGCTGGAAACGGGGAGACGTACTCCAGAGCAGAGTGGAGAGAATGAAACATTTCTTTTCAAATCATCCATGACTTCTTGTGTTAGCGTGGGAATTCGTGGCGGTGGCAAATCCAAGGCGGAGAGGGTTAGGTGTGGGGCAATATATCCTGTGGGAGGCAGTGGATCTCGGATTATCTCATGAGCAAGCCTAATTACAATTCGTTTCCACCAGCCGTCCATATCTGGATACCTGACCTACTCTCTGTTCATTAGTTCGTTCGTTTTAAAACTTTTACACATTTTTTTTTAAAGATTTTATTTATTTATTCATGAGAGACAGACAGAGAAAGAGAGAGAGAGAGAAGCAGAGGGAGAAGCAGTCTCCCAAGGAGCAGGGAGCCCGATGTGGGACTCGATCCCAGGACCCTGGGATCATGACCTGAGCCGAAGGCAGACGCTTAACCATCTGAGCCACCCAGGCGCCCAAAACTTTTACACATTTTGAAGCTGTTTTGTCATCATATATGTTTATAAGTTTTATAGGTCTCTGGAGGAATCTTCTCATCATTACGTGATGCCTCCCTTAATCCCTCTTAATGCCTTTTGCTTTTGGACCGATCTGGGGTGGGCCACATGCCTGGTGCCTCGATGACTGTGGGTAGGAGGATAAATTGGCCCGGTGCCTGCATGGTAGTCAGGGCTCTGGCCTTATTATCTGGGACATTCATCGAGGCCAAGCTGCTGTAACAAAGAGCCCCCAGGGCGCCTGGGTGGCTCAGATGGTTAAGCATCTGCCTTCGGCTCAGGTCACGATCCCAGGGTCCTGGGATCGAGTCCCACATCGGGCTCCCTGCTCCTTGGGAGCCTGCTTCTCCCTCTGCTTCTCTGTCTCTCTCTCCCTCTCTCTCTCCGTCTCTCATGAATAAATAAATAAAATCTAAAAAAACAAAAACAAAAAAAACAAAGAGCCCCCAACATGCAGTAGCACAAACAAGATACACATTTGTTCTGCACTCACAGAACGGTCCAGAAGGAGGCAGTGTGGGGCTGGCAGGATGGCTCTGCCATCTTTGGCCATGAAGCTTCATCTCTGGGTCCGAGAGGGTTGCCTCACCGCTTCCGTGAGGTAGGAGGCCAGAGGGGACACACCTGATTCTTCCAAAGAAAAGTCTTTGAAAGGCACGTGTGGTGTTTCTTAGCCACAGGGAGGCTGGGAACCATCGTCCTGAGCTGGGGGTACCTGCCCACTTAAGAACACAAAATAATGGAAGAGATGGATGGAGGTGGATGGATATTCAGTCACACGATCTGAGTTGCCATTGTCCTTTGGATTTGCCTCTCTCTCAGCAACACCACACGGCAGGGCTTGCTCACGCAGGATTCTGACCTTCCCGGGTCTCCGGCCGTGTGCGATCTAATATCAGAAATCTCGTTTCAAGCCCTTAGCAACTTTAACTAGCAGAATGGGAGGACAGAGGCAGCATCGAGCCCCGGGGACAAAACAAGACCCAGGCCCTCCCTGCCTTGGAGGATCTCATGAAGGGAGAAACCAGACAAACGAGTCAACGGATGCAGGGTAGAGACAAGGCTTTGAGAGCAGGGGCACACAGGGACCAGGGCAAGGAGCCTCTGACCAGCTTTGGGAGGGCAGAGACCACCTGGGATGCTATAATCCCGGAAGGTGGTAAGAAGCAGTCACATTCTGGATGTATTTCAAGGCTGAGCTGATAGACTCCCCAACGGACTTGCTGTGGGATTTGAGAAAGTGAATCCCTATTTTTTGGTCTAAGCAACTGGAGGGATGGAGATGCCCTTGAAGGTTATGGGAAGCATGCACAGGAAGGAAGGTTTTGGAGGAAGAGCAGGAGCTCGATCTGGGACACGGTAAGCTTGCGATGCCTACTGGTTATATGCAGCTGGGGGTGGGGGATGGGAGTTGGATGTGCAAATCTGGAGCTCGGAGGAGGGGTGCAGAATGGGTATATAATTGGGAGCATTGTCAGTACTTAGATGGTACTCGAGGAGAGAAGGGGTCTAAGGGCGGAGCTCTGGGGATTCGATAGGTTGCTGGTCCCGATGATGTTCAGAGGCAAGGGACGTGGAGGGGGGTTAAAGATGCAGAGGCACTCTGGTTACTGGGGGTGACTTCATGGGGTGTGTGGCGGAGGGTCGAGAGCATGTCATGGGGCCGAGGGCACCGGGCATGGGAATATCCAAGAATTATAATAGCAGTAATGTCCAGAGGCAGGAGCCCAGCCCTCCAGGCAGTGAGGGTGAATGCCTGACGGACACTCAGAGGAGGCTGAGGGTTAGGGAATTCTCCTTGGAGAAGACATTTCAGGAGTTGGGAGGCAACGGGGGTACTGCAATGGGGGATATCCAGAGTCGGGTTATGTCTGGGGCCTGGGGGCTGAGGCGTGGCTGGGGGGGGGGCGGCTAGCCTTCTTTTGGAAATGGACAAAAACGTAGGTGAAGGATATATTGAGATGAGCCCTCATGGCTCCGGGCAGATGATAAGTCTGAGAGCACAGAGGGGAGGGAGGAAGGGTTGGGGTCTTGTCCGGGTGCTGGGATTTTACCCATACTGATGGGGGCTCGGAGCCCCCCAGAGGACTGGTCCTAATGGGGCTCATATCGCAATATACTCATACTACAAGAATCCCCATTGTTCATCTTTAGTCCAAATGTACTTGTATATCCCAAATGTTGCGTGGGACATACTTAATGCCAAAAACTGTTTGTGGCTTATCTGAAATTCACATTCAACTGGGCATCCTGAATTTTCACTTCCCAACAGTCATAAGCCAAGATAGCTTCCTTCTCAGAGTGCCATCGGTACCCGACTGTCCAGGATGCAGGTCACTGTCCCGGGGTGGCTGTGGGGTCAGAGTCCCATCCCTAGACATTACTCTTCACTCCTTCTCGCGGGCTTGGGAAGGAAAGGGCTGACCCTGCCCTGCCCAATCTCTCAGCACGGCTCAGCTGTCTCCCTCCCAGGCTGGAGGGCTAGGGCCACCAAGGGCCACTCGCTGGACTGGTCTTTCCATGCAGAGTGAGGGGGAAGCTGGACCAGAGCCCTAGAGCTGCCCCCACATCTCCCCTGCAGGGGCAGTGGGGAGGAGAGTGGGTCCTTGGAAAGGGAGAGGGATTTCCTGCCAGGTGCAAATCGCCCTCCATGTGTCCTGCTGACTGATGACTGAGTCCTAATGAGCAGAGACAGTTGCCTGGGCCCAGAGATCAGGTGAGGGACACAAGTGAGTAAGGGGAAGGCCCTGGTCCCTCCTTAATCAAGTTTCCCAAACTGGTGTCTTTAAAAGTATTTAATTAAGGGGTACCTGGCTGGCTCAGTCGGTGAAGCATGTGACTCTTGATCTCGGGGTTGTGAGTTTGAGCCTCACATTGGACATAGAGATTACTTAAAAATAAAGTCTTTAAAAATTAATTAAAAAAATCTTTAACTGGGGGCACCTGGGTGGCTCAGTCGGTTAAGCGTCTGCCTTCGGCTCGGGTCATGATCTCAGAGTCCTGGGATCGAGCCCCATGTCGGGCTCCCAGCTCCGCGGGAAGCCTGCTTCTCCCTCTCCCACTCCCCCTGCTTGTGTTCCCTCTCTCGCTGTGTCTCTTCAAATAAATAAATAAAATCTTAAAAAATAAAAAAAATAAAAAACTTTAATTGTGGCAAATACATGTAACATGAAACTTACCATCGTTTTTTTTAAAGACTTATTTTATTTATTTTAGAGAGAGAGAGCGCGCGCCAGCAGAGGGAGGGTCAGAGGGAGAAGCAGGCTCGACGTGGGGCTCAATCCCAGGACCCTGAGATCAGAACCTGAGCCAAAACCAAGAGTCAGATGCTTAACGGACTGAGACACCCAGCCGCCCCTGAAATTCACCAACTGAACCACGTTTAAGTGTCCAGTTCAGTGGCATAAAGGACTTTCGTACTGTGCAACCGTCACCACCATCCGCAAAGCACTTTGCGCCTTGCAAAACGGAAAGTCTGCCCGCATTAAAGGACCACTCCCCAGGAACCCAGCCCAGCTCCTTGGCACCACAGTCCTGCTTAATGTCTTCAGTCACAGCATCTGTCCTTTTGTGTCTGAATTACCTCACTTATCATAATGTCCTCAAGCTTCATCCCTGTTGTGGGGTATGGTAGGATTCTCTTCCTTTTAAGGCTGAATAATATTCCCTATCTCCTGGGTGCTTAAAAAAAAATCCTGTCAAAGCCCCACCCTAAACGGAATAAATCAGACCAAATGATCGGAGGATGGGGCAAAGCCATGGGTGGTCTTGTTGGCTCTCTGTGTTCCTGGGGAACGCTGGCTGAGAACCTCAGGTGTATCGAGTGCTTCCTTCCACTGAGGCCCCTATCTGAGGTTTTACTTGGTAGGATTACACCGGAGGGCGCGTGAACTGTGGATTAACCTGTCACTGAGAGCACTGGGGCTAGAACAGGTCAGTGTCTGGCTTACTGGACTTTGCCAGGTTTATCAGCTAGAGTCAGTACCCCTCTTCTGGGGTTTCTCAACCTCGGCACTCTGGACATTTCGGTTGGGATCATTCTTTATGTGGGGCCGTCCTGTGCATGATAGGATGTTGAGCAGCATCCTGGTCTCTATGTCAAGATGGCAGGAGCACCCTCTCCCCAGTTGTGACAACCAAACATGTCTCTA